GCATAAATTATTAGTTAATTACCATAAAAATGAGAAAATATCTCTTACATGTGTCTAATTTTTTTGTACAAAAATATCCGACAAACATTATGCCTCATAGAACAGATGGAATGTGGTTATTAATGGAATCTAGGACACGAGTTTCATCCTATTTATCTAAATTACTTACCAGGCAAATGAACTCAGTTTGTTTACTATTTCATCAATAAACTAATTTCAAGTCATTTAAGCCTGGTCTATGAATTCAAAAAAAAGTAGTTTATAATTTATTGCTAATATGATGAATCAGGGTTTTTCATAGTCATTCCTTTATTTATATGTTTGTCTGTTTGTTAGTTTGCTTGTTTACTGGTTTATTCATCGCATCAACTACCTTATAACGAGCTTGTACTAATAGTAGTGTAATGTGGATTACTTATATCCACACAAGTAGTATATAACGGTGGTTAGGCATAGAATGTATTTCAGTAGAAGGTCGAGAAGAAAGAGCGGGAACGGGACGCGATTGGTATAAAAACGCATGAACAATGAAATCTGAGACAATCGATTCATGTTTGCAACAGGAACAGTCAAGTTTCATATGATGGATTGATATTTTGCAAATCAACGATATACTATATGGTTCTCAGATTTTATTGAGTTACTCTGTAATTTCGTGTCAAATACATCCGATTGCTCACTAAAATACGAAGATATTGTATATTTTGTTGTTATGTTTCAATCATAAAACCTTTTGTTGGAAAAATTCTCAAATCTATTGTCAAGAATTGTTTACATTATTATGTGCTATTGCAAGATATTTATGTCGATTCAGTTCATAATTTAAAGGGGATATGATATAGTGGACTGTCAAATAAACCCCTACGTATCTTTGTCGTAAATGTGAGTTTTTTCGCAATAAAGAATCATATTTCTAATCTCGTACACCTACTTTCCTGTAATTTCATGTCAAATACATTCGATTGTCCCCACTTGTGTTCTGGTTCACTACAGTAGAACTCTTGTTCACTCAGAAATTTATAATTATGCAAATATTTTGACCACCTACATTACTGATAACCAGCTAACCAATGGTGCTTATTTTCTGAACCTCAGTACTTTATTGGTTATATTCCTTTCACGTTCTCTTGACCATTCAAATCCCCAGACTTTTCCTCGAACCTTATATGTGTGAGATCATAGTACTTAAATTTTGTAAGTAGCTCAAGTAATATTTTTTCATTTCTACCACTTAAATATTGTTACTAGCTATCGCATTTCAATGTGCCAATTTGATTTACTATGTATGGGTATATTTTTATTGTCTCCTTATGTTTTCAGCTTCTAGTAACTTTGCTCGTCCAGAATTATATATGTTATAAGCATGTAGCTTTTATTTGGTTTCGCCTATCTCTTATACTTGACAGATGTATGCTGTTTTCTATCTAGCACTACCTTCCATAATTTTATTTTCATACACGTTTTGTAAGCTCTCCACTTGGTTTCTTGCTACGGCGGCTTACTGTTATACACATACTCTATTCTGGTTCTACAAGTTGTTACTAACATGAACATTTCGGTTTCAAATCACGTTGACCTATTTGATCGTTTTATTCACTGCTTTTCTTATTAGCCATGGTTTAACTTGTCTTCTTCAATACGTTCTATTCGTTTCAAATTAATGTACCTTTTGAACAGAGTTAAATGGCAAGTAGCAATGGGATTCTGTTGACAAGTCACAAACAAGACAAAATGAACATCCTGGATTCCAATACTTGACACTATCCTACTATGCTCAAAGGTCCTTGTGACTGAATGTAATATCGTGGTAATACACTCAGTATGTACATATGACAAAAGAGACTGATCAATATCAATCATTGACATTAAAAACGAGAGGATTCAAATACTTACAACAGAATAATCTTTATCATGAACCATGGTCGTAAAAAGTAGATTACTTAACCCAAGTCGATATACAAAATAAAATGATCACAATTCTTATCAATGTCCAATTTGTAGCAACTACAGAACACGAAAACGAAATCACCTCAAAACAGTTTTATCCTCACTCGGTAATGTCTTATGGTTAAGTCATGAATTTACTTTTTTACTGACTCTTATTTTAACTATCTGTTAAGGAATAACTTTGCCTAGACTTATTCATTTTTTTTGTGAATGCATAAGTATTTGTTACATAATTAGTAAAAATGATAGAAACATGATTTGAAAAATGAATAAAGTTGGTCTGAACGAATGTGTGTATTTGAAAAATTCACTCCACTCATTTGTAAAGATTTGTAAAAAATTTCTGGTAGAATTTCACCTTTATTTAATGGTTATTAACATGTGTTTTAATGAACATCATACTATTGAATATTGTTGAGTAATTTTCGCCCGTTCAAATCCCTTTATATAAATAATATTTTTCGAACTAACGTTGTCACTTGTTTAAATGTCCGTGCATGAGAGGAGTAATAAACCCTACTAGACTAGTCGTTTATTGACCAGTTCGCCTTTTTTTTAAGATGTCTTCTTTCCTCTAGTCTTATATTGTTTGCGTTACCATTGTCTGTTCCTATTTGTGGCGAAAAATTCATCATTCTATGGACGTTTCCGCCTACGTGAACAAAACTTACTTTCATAACCCTGATACTGTATACGCCAACAATCGATCAGACACGCAAAATTCATCCTTTGCCAATTAACTAATTATGAAATAAATCAGCCAAGTCCCACATGTTTTATGTGTTTTTTGTGTGATTCAGGCTCCAAAAACCTGCATAATTACACAACTAATAAATCTCAACAAATATATAGCTAGGACATTCGTAGTACCAGATTGAGTAAAAGGTTTATGGCTAATTAACCATGATTTACAAACGGCAAGAGATGTCGCGAAAGTTAATCAGTCAAACCAAAGCTTATAATTAATATACTATTAAAATGACTAACCGATCGCTTGATAAATACGAATAGAAATGTACAAACTGATTCCCTTCAAAAGTATCTTCTTAAATCTTATAATTTCAATCCCATTCCTCTTTCCATCTATCGTACTGTAATCAGTGTAAACCTTACGTAATTTCCCGTTTTTTTTCAATTGTTTGACATTTACATAGATTGGATAAGATATTAAATGATGTTATTAATGTCTTAAAATTCAGTTTTTTAAATTATTTGGAAAGAAATACTATTAGTACTTTAAAATAGTATTGTTTACATACTGATTTTCATTGTATTGATTAAATGTTCATTAAGCATCACTCTAGATCAACTATTTTACAATGATCAGATCGAAACATGATACTAATGCATCTAATCGTTTTGAATTTTATCTCAGCCCTAAAGCAGACTACAAGCTCGCAAGTCTGTTTCAGTAATTGGTTAATTAGTTTACATGAAATAAGTTTCAACCACTAGTAATGGCTCAGAAGAGTTTATTCTTCATATTTACATTTATTAATAAACTTATTGATTGTTTAATCATCTAAACGTACTATTTTTGCTACTTTTATAAATTACATATTGCATGTTTTCTAAAACATATTGTTTTTCTCCCATTTACTACTTTTTTTTCTCTGAACAGTCAATAACCCGTGATGAATTTGTTCAATATATTATAGTTTACTTTTTAAATTGTCTTCCACTGGATTATTAATTTAGTAAAAATCAATAGAACTTGCATAATATGTAATAAAAACAAAACAATACTGAAATTATCAAGAATAAATTTAAACCGAAATGAATATTGAACATTTAACTGACTTCTACCATAAGCTACTGTGATTTGTACTACCGATGTCGATAGATATAAGTAGTATCTATCGACGATCTGAAGTGAAATGCCCGGTAGGCTGATGATTATGATAAAAAAAAGAGAACGAGAACAGAGAATGATTTGTATGGAAATAAAAGATCAATTAATTCTGAGACGATTGATTGACATTTTGCAAATGGAGTATTTACTGTATGGATCTCAGATTTTACTAAAATGTTCTGTAATTCTATATTCAAATACATTCGATTGTCCCTACTTGTGTTCTCGTTCACTACAATACAATCTTGTCTCATTTAAGTAATTCTAACACAGCGAAATTCTAAAAATTAAATCTATTTACTTTTGTTGTAAACTTATAAATGTTGTTGAAACAAAGAATACTCAAACAGAATGATCAATTTTACAATTAGGCTCATTTAGTTGACGTCATAAGCTGTAGAGAAATCTACCAAGGATAGAATTACTTAGTCTTGATGACATAATCGCTCATTAATTCTGCAAATATATTGACAAAAATCCCACTCACTAGTACACACATTATGAATCAAATAGACAAATACTACTAAGAAATATAATTTTAAGTAATCACAATATATTTTTAATGTTGCAACGTTCTATGATTTGAACAGTTTATTCGTGAAGTTGCGAAAAAAAGTTTCTATTAGCTGACAGTTTTTAAAAATGTGTGCTTATGAGGTTGTCTAAAAAAGACAAGACACCAAACCATTCAAATCAGAAGATAAAGTACTTTGGAAGCCATCAGTATGGGGTTGTGGTGATTATTACGTTTTTCATTGAGATCATAAATCGATCTATATTTAGCCACCATTGAAAACCTGAGAGCATTGGATGGCTGTCTTGCCCTAGTATGGAACTCCTCAGTGGTGCGCACTAACGATCTCACTGGTGGGGTCCGGACTGAGGACCTTCTGTCTCGCGCACGAACGCTTAACCACTAGACCCTTGAGCCGGCATCCGACGGTGTTATTGTCTAACTTCAGCCAATCAACGATACTTTGCGACCATCTTGCATTGTCTGGTGTAGATATCTACCTCCACCCGACACGGATTAAACTCCACTGGTCACGGTTTCTCACTAGAACTCCGAGAACTCTCTCGATTTTAGTTAATCAAAAACTTTGAAAATCACCATCCTGAACGACAAGTACTTCTAATCATTCCAACAATCAAATCATTATTTAATAAATGTGTTCTTTTTTCTGAAAATAAAAAATTCAAGTGCAAATTAATTACGCATTTTTTTACATTTTTGAATTCATTTTATTGATATATAAGCAAATAGCAAATATTATTATTGTTATCATTTGTAGAGGTGGATAATTTGTCTGACTCTTATTACAGTAATCTCTTGTACAGCATTGGTATGAATATTTGTTGAACATATAGAACCAGGAATTAGATTCGCATACATCAACACAATCTCTAACAACATATGGATAACCGCTAGGTTCAATTTTCTGTTCGATGAATAAAAAGAGAAAAATTATGAAAGTAACCTACTAATTTTAAAAAATAATTTTATAGAAGTTCTAGTAAACTAACTTCACAGATAATATGAAATTTACTATCTTTTACAAAGAATGATTATTGAAGGACAGTTGATACTCTAAACAGTTCAATCTTATCATTGTTTTAGAAATTGAAGTTTTGACTTTTAAAATCTTCAGGAAAAATTTTGAAATCTAAACCAGTAGTAGTTATACTTAAAGATAATTTTATTCTTATGGTTAACTTTAGTATTATAAGATTCTAAAGTGAATGTCAAGTATCAGTGTAGTGATTGTGAAGATTATTAAGTTTTTGATTGAGATCATGAACAGATTGATGTAAAACCACCGTTGGAAACCCGTAAGCACTGGACGGCCGTTTCGTTCTATTGTGGGCATCCACGATCTCGCCTGCGACATTCAAACACGAAGCCTTCAGTCTGGCGCGCGAACGTTTAACCTACTGGACCACTGAGCCGGCATTCAATGTTGTTAGTGTCTAACACCAAGCAATCCACGAAATTGAGTGACCATCTTCCAGAGAATGTATATGTATGTGTATTACATTTGTGTCTCCATCAGATAAGACTTTACTTTTCACTGTTTCAGTTCATTAGAAAGAAGTTAAATCCATGCATATTGAACATAAACCAATTATTTAGTTTTATATATTCCCTTAAATCTTCTCAATGGTATTTATAACATTGAATATTAATGTTAAGGATCTGAGAGGGGGGGTCAAATAGAAATATTTGACTTATTATTTATCAACTATTTAATTAATCGCTGTTAATATAATAAGCCATGGATGTAGAAACTTAGACTGACTTCTCTATAAGTCAATATTATTTGTGGGACAGGGTTTATTGAATTAATAATCTTTAGAATCACATCATTAATTTCAATGATGATGATAATTATGCTCGTACAAAATCTGTCACTACCAAAAACTTTTACATGAAAAACCTTAGCTCATGGTGGAAATTAATCTCAAATGAAACATCAGTTTCCGAGAAACGACCTTAGTAAAATCAATAAAATATTTAAATGTTCTGCTTATTTCCATTTCTTATTCAATGAACTATTCAATAAAAGAAATTGCAATACATTCCTTAATTAACAATTTATATTGTTAAATGAACAAATAAATAAAACTACTGATATTTTAAATTACATTCAAAACAAACGAAACTTACAGCACACCATCTACAGCCTGTTCTATTTGTAATTAAATTGGATCGGGGATTAAATGGTGTAGGACATGGATTACAGGTGAAACAGCTAGCTGACAATGCTGTAATGATGAAGGGAGATTAATTATGGTGATGATTATGACTTGTAAGAGAAAAATATTATTTTCTACATCATAATCAATTAAACTTAACTGTACTCTTCCTCTCTGTAACTAACTACTGTTTAAAAACACATTAAGTATGTAAAAAACAAAAGCAGCTACATATTTTCAGTATGATATTTAAACAAAACTTACTGCGTATGAATAAGAAATCAATCAGGAAAAATCATTTTCCATGGAACTAATGATTTTGAAAATATTAAAAATTCTCATTTAGTACATTATAACAATAAGATACATATCATTATATGGACGAGTATCTTCAATGTTATTCTTATTACATCAGGGTAAAATTTTGATTAGTATTAGTATTAGGAAGTACAAATTATGGAAAATTAGGAAAAAACGTTGGAAGTGAACAAGACATACATTACGGAAATCATCAAACTGAATCACCAGACAAGCCCTAACTTAGAATCTTAAAGGGATGTGGAAAAGAGGAGGGCCAAAGAACACACTACGTCGGGAATTAGAAGCAGATATAAAAAGAATGAATAACAACTGGAAAGGACTGGAAAAGATTGTCGAGGACAGGGTTAGATGAAGAGTGCTGCTGGGCGTCCTATGCTCTCTCACGAGGAATGACAGGCGTAAGTAGGTACATAAGTAAGTAATAGTTATCAATGATATATCATACAGTTTATTTTTTCAAAATTTTTAATTCTTATGTTCTGAAATGATCAAACTAAGTAGAAAAATTATGAATACTTCGAGTTGTTACTCTAGATCATTACAATACTTGATTAAGAAATACTTGTTGAACAATGCTTCCATACTAGAGATCACTATTAAAGGGTGAATAAATCCTGATATCATTGGTTTTTTAAGGTTGTTGTTTCAATAAATTCTATTATTTTACATGATTATCTAGGGATTTATGATAACTTGTAAAATTCAAGTGTAAGAAAATACCTCAAAAATATCCTTAAATGCGCGTAATGAAATGCCACAAAATACTTAAATTTGAAAATATAGTATATTAAAGTCTAGCTTAATATAGAGTTTGATTTTAAATGAGATCATCGGTAACGATCGTTGATGAGTCTTAAACTTTTACAAAACAGTTATTTAGTGCTTTCTAATTTTCAGTGATTCCTCAGATAAAGTTAGATTTTAGTGAACGTTAGTGATCATGAATTCAATTTTTGTTCCAGAATACACTCACAATTAGTATGAATATTTTTAAATGAACTGTACCTATGGTTTGACAGTGAGACAGTATCACATTAGTTCTAGTAAAATGTTCTCACCTACTGAGTAAAGATTTTATATTTGATTGTTTCTTCTTAACTCTAGGAGTTCAAGTAACACCATATAATCTAATGACGCTTATGACTTAAATGATTTTCTCGAAATGATATTACGATGCAAACTTGAAAGAACATTAAAAAAGGGAAATACATTTGATATATTTCACAAATTGAAAATCAGATATTGACAGGAAGTTATGTAATATTCGGCTAGTGAAAAAGTGATGAGAGAAAATTATTTGTCCACTGAATAATTATAAGTTGTAATAGTTGCTAATTATTAGTTGCGAGAATAATTGAAAAGGAGTAGAAATAATAAAGCAAAAATAAAAACGATTGATTATTCAAGGTAAAAAGCGAAGTTAAGACCATGGAAGAATGAGAAATTAAACATACTGTTTTTGCACACAAAGATTAGGTATAAATTGATGGATAGCAATAGTACCTGCTTTACATAAGTTTATCATTTGCATTCCTATTGAGCCAACTTTTCTAACCGTATATATAATTTTGAAGGTTTCTGGTGAAATGGAGTTGCCGGAATTGACTAGATATTTCAATATTTGTGAAGATTACTTAATTTGTAATTTGTTTGGTGAGGTAAGTTTAACTAAACAAACACCAGAAACAAGAAAGCAGTGAATAGTTGATTTGTCCAGCATGAGTTTCTTCAAGACTACGGAACGTAACATGTATCACTTAATCAAATAACCTAATTTTACTTTGATAAATACCCAAAAGAAAGGAGCTTATATAATCCATCGTCTTAAGTCATTTATAAGGGTTCATTCGAACATAGTAATCATAAATTTTTCCGAAAAAATAGTCTTATTTCATTACTTACAGTCATCAATTTTCACCATAAATAAAAGCATTGCCATTAGGATGCATGTTAAGAACATCATAATGTCTTTTCTTAGAAAATTGTTCATCAACACTATGTATTTGGATATTTATATGAAATTTGTTTGCTAATATATTTTAATTATGTTTTTTTGTGTGATTTTTAATTGATCATTACCTTGTCTCTACCAACCATATGTACTCGTTATCCTCACTTAATTACTTGAATCCATTAATTCAATTTTGATGAGAGTAATTTCTTGAAAACAATAAACCACCTCATTCAGTTGGCTAACATTACAACTTTTGAAAGGGTCAACTAGTTATATTGTTTTTTTATTTGTTTACAAACGATATTAGTAAATAGACTTGAACTAGTGCATATATGTACATATATATGCTAGTATAAATGAACAAATTAGTGATATGTTTCTACTTCAGTCTTAGTCGCTTTTGGATAGACATTAAAAAATGTAAATTCATTATTCGGAGTAAATATAATTTATTTTGAATTTCGATTAAACTACCTCTATGCTATTTTTTTTCTGTTATCTTTTAACTTCACTTTGAAATAGAAATAATATTAACGTGCATTACAATATAACTATGTGATATAGTCTTTTGTAATGGCAGGAAATGGTTAGGAATTTATTTATCCATTTGAGCATTGTGTTACCTTTTTGAGATTAATCAGTACGACGCTACTTCAGTCTCTTCTCCTCTACACCCCGGGAAGTGAAATCCTCCAAGGGATTCGAACCAAAGCTATTCAGTGCATCAGTTAACAACATTTATATTGAAATGTTTTTTTCTTTTAACTATCTAACTGAGATTAGTAAACCTTATTGTATAGTTGACGGATAGGATTCAATGGACACTAACAATCAAACAACATTAATAACTGATAAATATAAAATAATAATTCTGAAACGAAACTAAGAATAATAACACAATATCAATAATACAAAAGTGATAATAAAAGCAAGCGTCGTTACATTTCCAGTACATCTAATCAGCTTTCGAGTTGCGTGTTTAACTTGAAAGACTAAAAAGGGTAGTGAATTCTGGTATTCCATACAATTCTATGTAAATAATCGAGGAAATAGAAAGTAATATTTACTGTTCATTTAAAATAGATTTTGGCCAGTAATAGAATATGCAACGTTTGTTTCGTCTTGTTTAAGACTTGTCAGCTAGATATACTTGATTTCCAGGTTTTATGTTCACATTGAGAATCGAACCAAGTACCTATCACTTCAAACAACCAACATATCATCCACTAGGCAACTGATTTCAGATTAATCTAAATTCAATTCTGATAATCAATAAAGAGATAACTCAAAGATTTACTGTTTTTTTATCTATCTTAAGTAACTATAAAGTGAGTGTGATTAATACGAAATTATAGTTAATAATCATAATTATTCAAGAATGCCATGGGAACAAGTTAAGGATTAGTGATTATGAAAAGGGACAGAGTAACATGCTAAGATTAATTTTCAAGTGAAACATAATCTATAAGAGAATGCGCTTTGAACTTGAACTTCCAATTTAATGTAGACTATTTACTTTAAAACATTAATTGTATCTAGTTCTTGATACTCTCTGAACAGTCTTTCAGATATAACAAAAGCTTAACATAGTATAAATCGACCGAGTCCCCTCTGTTCATACTTGCCATGTAGCAACTGTATTGAATGGGAAAATATAAACCGTTTTCCATCATTTATGAATATTTAACATCTAAAATCAACTCTGAATGCAGTAAGAATTTAACAGTGTCATTTAATAATTTTGCTATCAAACATTGTAATATGGTATAAATAGCCAAAATAAAATGAAAACCTCGTAGATTCCAGAACTTCAACCAACTGTCTTCAAATTTTTAGCTCATTAGTTGTTCTGAAATAAAAAGAGAACAATAAGGAATTAATATAATCCAAAATGACATTCATTGATAAACTATAAAATACCTTGGTTTTTATTGAAGATATCTGTTACATCATTACTGATTACGGATCGAACTAGTCATATATTTTATCACTGCTCTCTTTCGAATTAGGGTATCCGAAAAGTAACTGTCAGTTTTTGAAGTTTGCACTATGGTTTATTGTTATAGGATGAGAAGAAAGCATGGACATTACAGTAAATGCCGATTGAGGATGTATTAGTATCTTCAAAGCAATGAACATGGGACCGGAAGTTGTGAAATAAAGTACATTTTCAAGCAAAATGTCATTATTATTGGGTCAAAATCATGGTAACATGCATAAATAAAATTTTTTAGTTATTATTAACGTCATATAACACAAAGGAAGTTGAAAGAAAACCTGGGTTGGAATAGGATTCGAACCAGTAGACTAATGATCACGAACTTCAACTTTCACATAATCAACTGAGAAATGCCAATGATATCATGGTCATAACTTCACTTTAATGAAATTCTACTAAACGTAGCTTCATAATCCTAGCTAAATCTTTACTTTGTGTATCATTCAACTGTCCAGGTATTTCAATAAATTATCTTGTTTTGGACTACTTTCAATTAAATAATCAAGTATTTCAACCGAGTTTACTCACCAGCTTTCATTGGATGTTATTAACTTCTCACGACTTTAAATACAGGAAAGCTCAAACGAAAACATTAGTTTACGGTATATTTCCTTCCATTTTTATCCATGATAGTGAGAACTACATTGGAATTCTTGGATTCTATATATGATGAATGAAAAATAGTTGTATTGGTCGAGTTGGTATGATGAATTTGTGACTAATGATAAATGAGACATAATTTGTTCAGAAAGATACTTTAAGATATAATTCGACAATTTGCTTCTTTACGCCTGTTACCCCTCTAAAAGGTGCGTGGACGGCCCACCAGCATTCTCCATTCAAATCTATCCTGAGCAATCCTTTAGAGTTCTTTCCATTTGCTATTCATCCTTTTTCATATCTGTGATTCTAATTCTCGACTCAGTGTGCTCTTTTATCTTCCTCTTTTCCATTGCCCTCAGGAATCCAAGTTGACGCCTTCTTTGTGTTGTAACTTATGGTCTGTGTGCCCTGTTAATGGATAACGTAATAATACCGCCAATTAAAGAGGAGTGAATTATCGACCGGACCAGTGACGAATAAACTCATGTGAGCAGTCTAGACTACTTATCGGTCTAGCTTCCTGCCTAGACCTGCCTGTTAAGTCCAGAACACTAATCTCAGCCTCTACAATATGAATCATTATATTTCAAACATACTGAGTTTATATACCAATCAAACAGACCACAACGTACCATAAAATAGAAAACAACATTTAAACAAGATTTGGCCAAATGTGGTTGTGAATGTGGGAGGTAATGACTAATAGACAGGGCATAATTCAAGAATGGTAAAACGTATAATAATGATTCATAGGTCAAAATAAAGCTAATCATAAGTGGGACATGAATATGAATAGTTTAGTTACATAACAATTATAGGATAAAAATATACGTTAAGTATTGGTCCATAATGAATCCCAAAAGTTACCATTCATTATGCTTATCGGGACCTAACACTGTGTGATGTAGTTTGATTTCCGTAATGTATGTCCTATCCACTTCCAATGTCTTTTAATAACTTCCCTCAAGCTGGAAGCTGGTTTGTTCTATCCCACAATAGGCTGTTGCTCATGATATCCGGTCAACTAACATTGAGTATCTTACGTAGACAATTGTTTATAAATACTTGTACATTTTTGATGATGTTTGTAGTAGCTGTTCAAGTTTCAACCTCGAAAAGTATAATTATCTTGAAGTTCGTATTGAAGATTGTAACTTTGATGTTGGCTCACAAACTTTTGTTTTGAGTTCCATATGTTCCTCAACTGTATGAATACCACCCGCACTTTACCAATCAATACCATTACATCTGCATCTGATCCTTCTTGTTCATCGATGATACTGACTAGTTATGTGGAAGTTCCCACCTGTTCCAGAGCTCCTCCATCAAGTGTGATTGGGTTAATGTTCTCTATGTTGTATTCGAGGATCTTACTCTTCCCTTGTGTATGTCGTGGCCTACTGATGCAGAGGTTTCTGCTACACTAGTTGCCTTCATCTGCATTTGTTGGTGTGTATGGGACAGAAGAGCCAGGTCATCTGAGAAGTCTAAATTGTCTAGTTGATTCCGCGCTGTCCATTGTATTCCCTTTTTCCCCTCAAATGTTGAGGTCTTCATAACCCAATTGACCACCAGAATAAAGAGGAAGGGTGGGAGTAACAATCCTGTCTGACTCCGGTCCTCACTTGGAATGCAACTGTCGACTGTCCTCGATTCGACTATTTTTCCGTTTAATTATACACTAAAAAAGAATTTATTGTAAAATTGAATCAATGATCTTGAGAATTTCTTGCTGCAACAAAATATACCACTAAATAAAGTAACCATTATTGTTATTATAATTTGTGTTTGCTAATAATAACCATTTTTTTAATGAAAGCACACATAAAACTGAAGCATGTAACTTGTTAGGTTAGTAGTGTATTGATTAAAAAAACTTCATTCTCTATGGGTGATCATATATCTTTTCTTCACTAATATTAAAATATTAATCTTTACTAAATAGAAATATGATTGTTTTAAAGTCAATCAATAATATGGATTAATTAGAAATCTATATCACTTTTAGAAAGACTCAGAAGAATAGATAGTCACAGTGAACAGTCATGTAACCCTTGTTCCTCACAAGTATGTAGTCCTTTCATTCTGAAAGTTGGTTGGATAACTTATAAAAATGTTTGAGATTAAACTTTGTGTAATTCAACAATCATATGCTGTTTTACATTTTCCAGTATCCTAATACCGTGGAGTTGCACTCACATTGTTTATTTACACAGTAAAACATCCATCAAGGCTGTTCTCACAGTAGTAATTGGTTCAGCCACATAGTTTTATAATTACTGAAAATTATTCAGAGAAAAAAACGCATTATTGTTATAATCAGCATAGTTTATTAGTAGCACATTTGAATCCGGCTACAAGGTTCAACCGATTAAGAGTCATTATTCCGACAATCAGTATTGTCATCTTACAATAATGTCCAGTTTAGACTGGAAGTATATTGCTATTAATGAAGAGTACTCAATCATAGCGTGATATTGAAGTAAATCAAAATGAGAAAAGATATAATCTGATGCTTCAGCCAGAAAACATAGCATAGTTAAATGCGATGTTCGAATTACGAATATTTTTTTCATTACGGACTGATCTTGAACAACTAATGGAAATCGAGAGACATTGAATGGCTGTTTAGTCCAGTTATTTGACTTTCCAGCGGCATTGATCCGGGATTCCATCTGAGATC